CACACAGCAGATACCCCCCAACCAAACAAGAGCCCTACAGCTTGCTTAAGAACAAACGCACTGATAGAGATGATAAATCTCTGCTGGAAACCAGCTAGATTTCATTTGTTACTTCAGCTGTTTGGCAAGATCTTTTCGACATATACTTTTTAAAAGTCATTGTTTTTTTAATCTGCGGAACCGGATGGCTTCTTTGAGATGTCTCTTCATCTTGACATTTGGAATGATGATTAAAGCTTAGCTTACAGATTGTGCCTAACCCAAGCTGAAAGGGAAGAATTTAGGTAAAATCTCTGGATGATTTGGGCCAAAAAGGACTCTTTTGGTAATCTGGAGCCCACTTCTGCCATGTTTTACTTTCAGTAATGGGGTAACGGGGTCAGAGACTAAACAGTGTATATTGCTTCAAGCTTTGCATTTATGTTTGGCAATATTGTCCTAAATCTTTCAGAATATCTGATTTACTAAGTTTTATAGGTCAAAATATCATTTGAGTGTAATATAGCTTTTACCTATGTTTATAAAGTTAAATCCATTATCATCAAAACCTCAAACTATTCATTTTTCTGTCCCTAGAAACATGGTTTAAAATGTTTAGTGTGACATGAATATACCCCTTTCCTCATCTTGCAGTTGATGTAGGAGCATCATAGAAGGCACTCTCAGCATCAATAATGAACCATATTACTATTTTTAATTGAAACTTTAATTGGGGTTATTATAGATCCACATGCAGTTATAAGAAATAATGCAGTGAGATCCCTTGTATGCTTTGCCCAGTTTCCTTCAATGGTAACAATTTCTAAAACTGTAACTCAAATTGGGATATTGACATCGATACAATCCAGAGATCTTCTATTTCCCTACTGTTTACACCACATTGCCGTCTATATGGTTTTGTGTACTCACCACACAGTCAAGATACACACAGTGCCATCGCCATAAAGATCCCTTATGTTGCTTTTTAATAACCACGTACACTTGTCCTCCACCCACCTGAATTGTATTATTTTTGACCAATCAGGTAATTCCCCACATAGATTGGAAAGCCAGTGTATATTGTGATTAACAGATTAAGTCCCACTGCCTGAGTTTGCCTGGCTCTGCCACCACTCTAGGCAATTTATATACCCGACCTTATTCAATCCTCACAAAAGCCCAATGGATAGATATTCTTGTCCCTGTTTTCATATAAGGAAACTGAGGCTTAGACAAATGAAAGACAATATAGTATTTGCCTAGAGTAACATGCTAGCACGTATTTGAATTGCGATAAAAAACCAGATCTGACTGCCCCCAAGCCCATGCTTTTCCACAACAGCAAATTTATTAATTTCAAGCGTCCCAATTAGAGCAGAGTGCTGGTTGTTAAGCATTTGTCTCAGCCTCAAATTCCGGCTTCTAGTCACTGCTTTGTGAACCAAAGCACAATTTTCTTTTGCCGTTTTGCGCTTCGCAGGTTCTGCCAATAGGAGGCGCTAGGGGAACAAGTCACTGTCTCCTTCCCGTTTGTTTACTGTTCCTATCAACGTCATCAATGTCACCCTGCAAACAGCCCTTCATCCTGGCAGTGTCAATCCCTTCTAGTAGCCACAGTTAATTCCAGTCTGCAGGTGGTCCACATACCCACAACTGGCTTCACTGAATCCCTCAGTGATGCCATACCATCCAATCACACCCCCACTTCAGAGATCTGGCTCCCAGTAATTCAGGGTCCCTCCTCCGAGTTCCTAAGGCGCCCTTAGATCTTTAGTCTCTGCTTCCTGAGCTTCTAAATTGTAATATTCCAGGTTCCACCTTTTGTTCCTTCAGTCCTGAAATTACTGCTTCTGTGATGATCACTGCCTGAAGTTGCTACTTCTATGATATCTTCATGTTCTCTTTCTGTGTTTCTGATTTCCAGCACTTGCTCAACTGTCTTTATATTACATAACTGGCAGATTATTTATGTATTTAAGTTATTTATTAGATAAGTTAATTATTTATTAAAATAATTGGTGTGGTTTCTGACTCCTGCCTGGGCTCTGGCTGATACAAAGAGCTAATTCTTTTGTTTATTTTTTATTTTTTTTAAAGATTTTATTTATTTATTTGAGAGAGAGGCAGTGAGAGAGAGCATGAGTGGAGAAGGTCAGAGGGAGAAGCAGACTCCCCGTGGAGCCGGACCCCCCCCCCCCCCCCCCCCCCCGCCGTGGAGCCGGGACCGGGACCCCCGCCCGCGATGCGGGACTCGATCCCAGGACTGCGGGACTCGATCCCAGGACTGCGGGACTCGATCCCAAGACTGCGGGACTCGATCCCAGGACTCCGGGATCATGACCTGAGCCGAAGGCAGTCGTCCAACCAACTGAACCACCCTGGCGTCCCAAGGAGCTAATTCTTAATTTGGAAATTCATTTGCAAGATTGACCAAGAGTGTGGCAAAATTGTTTAGCAAATAGGATATGTTATAATACTAAGAAAAAAAATATTTGACACTTTTAAATATGGCAAAAGGATGATGTGCCTCTTCCCTTTAGTGTCATCCTGGCATTGTATAACAGGCCTACCCACATATTTCACAGTTCTCTAGGGAAATGCACCTTTGTTTAACTTACTTTTTGTTATTGCTTAGGACCAGACATAAACTTATAGAAGACTGATAAGTGGCAAGTGACTTTTTGTAGAGTAGAGTTGTAAATAATCTCTGTTGGGTGGAAAAGGGAATCTCAAAAATTATGGTTTTGTTAACCTATAGGACATTCAACAGGTTTTTTGAAGTTAATAGACTTTACTTTCTGGCAGTTTTAGGTTTACAGATAAACTGAACAGGTAGTACAGACAGTTGAGTGTATCCTCGCTCTCCTTGTCTGGACTTCCACTGTTTCCCATATTGGTAGTATCATGCTTAGTGTGGGAACATTTGTTACAAGCGACAAGCCAGGATTGATCCATTATTTTTAACTAGAGTCCATAGTTTACTCTAGGGATCACTCTTTGTGTTGTACTGTCTGTGGAATTTAGCAAATGCATAGTGTCACGTATCCACCATTCACATATCATACAGAATAGTTTCCCTGCCCTAAAAGTGTCCTATGCTTCACCTATTCAACCTTTCTACTTCCCATGTATCCCTGGCAACCACTGATCTTTTTTTTCCTGTGATAATAAATAGAGAAATTTTTGTGTTTATAATTTAGTGAGTTGCTCTCCTCAATTATTGAATTAATATGTATATACACAAGGAATAAAATAATGCAAAAATATAAGAGGAAAAAGTTAATCCGTGTCCTCTCTCATTTCTTTTCTTACTCCTCTTCCCAGAGATAATCATATATCTCAGGAGTGCATTCTTCTACAGTTTTCTTCCTGTTTTTACAAAATGTGAGTGTGTGTGTGTGTTTGTGCGTATGTGCAAACCACTGATCTATTTTTTTTTTTAAGATTTTATTTATTTGACAGAGAGGGACACGGCAAGAGAGGGAACACAAGCAGGGGAACAGGAAAGGGAGAAGCAGGCCCCCCACTGAGCAGAGAGCCCGATGCAGGGCTCAAACCCAAGACCCTGGGATCATGACCTGAGCTGAAGTCAGACGCTTAACGACTGAGCCACCCAGGTACCCCAAAACCACTGATCTTTTTATTGTCTCTACGGTTTTGCCTCTTCCAAATGCCATATGGTTGGAATCATAGAATATATAGCCTTTTCAGACTGGCTTCTTTCACTTAGTCATATGCATTTAAGGTTCCCCCATGTCTTTTTGTGTCATTTGTTTTTCATGGTAATACTTCATTATATGGATATATCTGTTTACTTTTCTGGTTGTGAAACCATCTTGATGGTTTCCACTTTGGGGCCCTTATAAATTCAGCTGCTATATCAGGGCACCTGGGTGGCTCAGTCAGTTAAGCATCTGCCTAGAGCTTGGGTCATCATCCCAAAGTCCTGGGATTGAGCCTCACATAGGGCTCTCTGCTCAGCGGGGAGTCTGCGTCTCCCTCTGTGTGCATGCTCTATCTCAAATAAATAAATAAAATCCTTTTTTTTAAAAGCTGCTATAAATATGTGTGTGTAGGTTTTTGTGGGAACATGAACTTTCAGTTCATTTGTGATTGCTGGATCCCATGGTAAGGGTATGGTTAGCGCTGTGAGAAACTGCTGAACTGTCTTCCAGAGTGGCTGTACCATGTTGCATTCCCATCAATTTTAAAACAAAACAACACCTAACTTAGCAATCTGATTCCTGGATTCTTTCTTTCATAAACCACATATACTCAATCCCTTGAATTCTGTCCTTGAATTCTCCTCTCCACTCCTCTCCTCTCAGTTTGACCATCCTGATGGTGCCCCAGTTACCAAGGTAAATAAATATGAAATGCCATTTTTCAATGTTTAAAAATTATACTTTGACAATAATAGCCAGTGATATTTCCCACACAAAAGCTAACCCTACAGAGTAACCATAGGAAGAAAACCTTTTTGTCTTTTTTCTAAATTATGGTCATGACCTTTATAGTCACACTCAGATTTCCTCAGGGTCAATTCACATGTAAACTGGCTCAGCAACCCTATCAAAGGCTAGTATTTTATATGTGCAAACGAGTAGCTGGTGAACATTCCAGTGAACTGATGCATAGATTCATTTTTTTAAAAATGTTTCAACTTGAAAACCAATACCTGGAAAAATGCTAAGTCACCCTGGTATAAATCAGATTAAAGTGAATTTTTCAAGCCACATAGTCTCCATTTTTCTATATATTTTTATTTGGTGGCTTCTATTAAGGGAGAAGATTGAAATCAACCCTCTGCAACTAGGTCTTAGATTTATCTTTAAGAAATAGAATCCTCCCAGGGTTTTGAAGCCTATTGGCTGAATTCTGACACTGCACAGAACTTCCCCAGGCGGAGAGACAGAGTAGAATTACGAGTCTGGTAGTCAGGGAACCTAGGGTGTGTGGTTTGAATGTCAAGGGCGTTCTTGGGCTTGCTGCAAACCTCATTTTGATTCGTCCATTTTCAGACCATTGAGCTGAAGTCGACTTCTCTGCAGTCTTAAGTTATTCCAGACGGTGGATTGATTTTCTCGCCTTACCTTCCTCAGATGTGGAGGCCCGGCAGCGGCCGTGGCTGGCACGGTGCACATGTAAGTTGGACACACAGGACCCCCTCCCAATTAATGTAAAGGTCCCAACATAAACATTAGTTCTCACAAGCATTCCAAGGATTTTAAAGGCTTTGGTGTTGTAAAAAAAAAAAATATTTAGTCAGCTTGTGACAGCTACAATCCTGCTCCTGTTTCAGCTTTTAAAAAAAGAAGAAAAAAGGAAACCATACTCATTTCTTCCTTCCACAGCTCAGTGACATTCCAAAAAGGAGAAAGAATCCCTTAGCTTGCCTCACTGGTAGAAATGCCTGGCTGGGACATTCCTTTGGCCTCTTGAGCTGAAAGCTGCATACCTCGGGGACTGCTTTAGTCTCCGGTCTGAGAACAGACTGAGACGAGTCTACAAAGATAGAAGAACTCTGTGCAAAACCCCCAGAGAAAACAACACAAAATCACACCTGACCCCAGCTGGAGGCTGCATCTCCAGAGGGAAAACACAGCCCCTGAGATAGTGGCATCCCTCCGGATCCCTTTCTCTTTTGACTGCTAAGCAGGTAACTACTATCTTAAGAGTGTTTCCAACATAACCAAGGAAATGTAGGAAACTCTTTTACCTGGTGAAATCAGACAGTTGTCAGTATGACACACTGTAGTAACCTTTTCCAAGAAGCCATCCTTACAAGAGAAGGAACCCGCCCTATAGGAAACGGAAAAGCTGACCAGGCCTTTTCTATCTAGGATCCTCACGCTCCTGGCCCATTTGCTGCAGTAGCTTGGGTTTAATTCCTTGTTGTATTTGGCAACGAGTGAGTGAGAAAAACAAGGGTATTAATAATGATAATAGACGTTTGAACTTCCTGGGGACACTATGTACTTGTACCCAAGTGCTGAATAGAATTTTTAAAAAAGATTATTTGTGTGGTGCGCAATGAGACTAAAATTTGCCACAAACTTAAATCACTCATTTTCCTTTGTCCCGGAAAAACACATTTTTTGTCTCTGTGGCATTTGAATCAACTCTCCTTTCCTAATTTTGCCATTTGAAAAGGTTTTATGACATGAAATGACTTTATTTATGTATTCAGAACTCATGCCACAAAGCTTTAGGGCCTGCCAATTAAAAACACAGCAGCAAAGAGTGAAACAATTTGACGATTTTCCGTCTATGAAATGGTTTTCCATCAGCAGCAAGCATCTTGCTAAATGATACTGCTATTTGCTGACTCAAATGCCATAAATCTGGTTGTATTTCTGGTTTTGTGGCAAATCCCACCTGCTGTGGTCTTGGTTGGTAACTTGTGGATTTTGGTCTGGCTGCCAATTATTGATCCCTCTTCTCTATTCCCTTTCTTATTAGAAAAGTAGAAAATCAGCAAGAACTGTACATGCAGGGAAAACAGGGGTCCTGGTAGGAGCCCCCTATGAGGGTACCTTTTATGAACTGTGATCTATGAAATTCAAATTCTAGGACAACCAAAGTCTGCTGCAGAAGTTTTCTTGGCATATTAAAATTTGCCCACAAGAGAGTTTACCGGAAAAAGAATCCTCAAGGTAAAGAGCTGGTGTCTACATCTTTGCCTCAGATGGTCAGATTTCTGGGAAAATCTCAGCTGGGAGCTCTTCTGAGAAGTAAGCTGACATCACAGGGTTGCAGGACTTACCGCCTCAAAACTCTGATGCTCTAGAGATTTGCCAAAGCCACTATTTGTTTAAAATTGACTCTAAACAATGAAACTTGGGAACACTGAAAAAATTTAAAAAAATAAAATAAATAAAATAAAATAAATAAAATTGACTCTAGGGGCGCCTGGTGGCTCAGTCCCTTAAGCGTCTGCATTCAGCTCAGGTCATGATCCCGGGGGGCCTGGGATCCAGCCCTGCTTCTGGCTCCCTGCTCAATAGGGAGCCTGCTTCCCCTCTCCCTCTGCCCCTCCCAGACTGGAGCTTACGTGCACTCTCCCTCTCTCAAATAAATAAATAATCTTTTTAAAAAATAAAATAAATAAAATAAAATCGACTCTAGCTTGTAGTCACATGCACTGATGGATCCTTACAAACAAATGGAGAAGCTGTGCCTCAGGAGCTAGTGTCCTCTGCTATGAGGGACTCTGGCTCCAGCAGTTTATATGATTAGTAGGTGGTAAGAACACATTTGGTGGAAACCTCCAGCAAAAACAATTCGTATATTTATCTCTGATACCTTTTCTCCCATAATTGGGCCTTCTTAAAGAAGAAACTGATCCAACAAATTGCACTTTTGGCATTCTGAAAATGTAACATTCTCAGTGCCTAAAGAGAGTCAACTGAAGCTAGAAGATGTTTAGGTGTTTAAATGACCTAATCCAATCCTTAACAACTCATTCTCTGACTCCCTGCCTCCTTTTTCTACCTTTTTTTTTTTTTAATTACAAAAGCAGAGCATTAACACATGAGATTGGAATTATACATGGAGTTATTACAGCACACAAAAACATTTTTTTTTTTAAGATTTATTTATTTGAGAGAGAGGGAAAAGGTGTATTTGTGAGAGAGAGCATGAGGAGAAGCAGGCTCTCCACTGAACAGGGAGCCTGGTGCAGGGCTTTATTCCAGGACTCTGGGATCATAACCTGAGCCAAAGGCAGATGCTTAACCAACTGAGCCACGCAGGCACCCCTCTAGCACAAAAAAGTTGTGAAAATCTTTCATGGTTCTATCAATTAGAAACAAGCATTTTAATTGTGTCAGTGTATTTCCTTCCAGTTTTTCATCAATACCAAAATTTTACGTATTTCATATCATAAACTGTATTATACTATAATGTATTATAAATTATCAGGCTTACTATAAATAATTTACATGCAGAAATGAATAAAGGAGAACAAACATCTCCTATAATCGTAACCCACAATAGTCATAGAAATAATTACTGTGAAAAGTTTGATAATATTACCTAGTGTATATAGCTAGCTTATATACCCATTAAATATTATATATTATATGTATTATGTAATGTCAATATATAATATCTAATATGTTATCTATTATATATGATGACTTGATATTTTTACCAAATGGTTTCTGCGAAATATTCTGTTCAGTAATTTTCTTTTTTTATAATAATATATCTTTCAGAGATCTTTCTGAATAATACATCTTTCAAAGATCTGGACATCTTTCAGAGTCCAGATATGTGTATCTACGACATTTTAAAAATGACAATATAGTATTCCACTGCATGTATGTACCCATACTTTTTATAATCCCTACTGATGAAGATTTGTTATTTCTAACTTTTTGCTATTATAAACAATGCAGTGACCATTCTTCCATCTTTGCAGACCTGTTTGGGATGTGGAATTGTTGGATCAAAGGACATTGTGCATCCATCCAAAAAACTGAAATCTTCCATTTGCAACGATGTGGATGGAATAGAAGGTATTCTGCCAAGTCAATTCAGAGAAAGATCAATTATCATATGAAACCATTCATATGTGGAATTTAAGAAACAAAACAGAGGATCATAGGAGAAGAGAAGAAAAAATAAAATTAAATAAGATGAAATCAGATAGGGAGACAAACCATAAGAGACTCTTTTTTTTTTTTTTTAAAGATTTTATTTATTTATTTATTTGACAGACAGAGATCACAAGTAGCCAGAGAGGCAGGCAGAGAGAGAGGAGGAAGCAGGCTCTCTGAGAGCCTGATGCGGGGCTCAATCCCAGGACCCTAGGATCATGACCTGAGCTGAAGGCAGAGGCTTTAACCCACTGAGTCACCCAGGCACCCCCCATAAGAGACTCTTAATTATAGGAAACAAACTGAGGATAACGAGGGGTAGGGGGATAGGATAACTGGGTGATGGACATTAAGGAGGGCATGTGATGTAATGAACACTGGGTATCATATAAGACTGGTGAATCACTGACCTCTACCTCTGAAAGCAGTAATACATTATATGTTAATTAATTGAATTTAAATTTTAAAAAGAAATTAAAAAAAGAAAATGTCAGGAAAAGATATTGTGCATATATTTTAAAATATGGTCATAATTACATTAGATGTAATTATGTCCTCCACTTCTACTAAAGATTATATCATTTCATGATATTACATTAACTTTGTAAGTATCATTTTAATGGCTGCATAATATCTCACCAAGTGAATCCATACTTCTAAGTCATATAAATAATGTATACATGGAACACTGTTTTTTATTTTTTATTTTTTAAATTATTTTTTATTATGTTATGTTAGTTACCACATAGTACGTTATTAGTTTTTGATGCAGTGTTCAAAGATTCATTGTTTGTGTATAATACCCAGTGCTTCATGCAATACATGCCCCCCTTAACACCCATCACCCAGCCAACTCATCCCCCACCACCCTCCCCTCTAAAAACCTCAGTTTGTTTCCCAGAGTCCATAGTGTCTCATGGTTCGTCTCCTCCTCTGATTCTCCCCCTTCATTTTTCCCTTCCTTCTCCTAATATCCTCCATGCTATTCCTTATGTTCCACAAGTAACGGAAACCATATGATAATTGACATTCTCTGCTTGAGTTATTTCACTCAGTATAATCTCCAGTCTCAATCATGTTGATGCAAAAGGTGGGTATTCATCTTTTCTGATGGCTGAATAATATTCCATTGTGTATATGGACCACATCTTCTTTATCCATTCATCTGTTGAAGAACACCTCAGCTTTTTTTCCACAGTTTGGTGATTGTGGCCATTGCTGCTATGCACATTGGGGTGCATGTGGCCTTTCTTTTCACTACATCTGTATCTTTGGGGTAAATAGCCAGTAGTGCAATTGCTGGGTCATAGGGTAGCTCTACTTTCAATTTTTTGAGGAATCTCCACACTGTTTTCCAAAGCAGCTGCACCAACTTGCATTCCTACCAATAGTATAAGAGTGTTCCCCTTTCTGCACATCCTCTCCAACATTTGTTGTTTCTTGCCTTATTAATTTTGGCCATTCTAACTGGTGTAAGGTGGTATCTCAATGTGGTTTTGATTTGAATCTCCCTGATGGCTAATGATGATGAACACTTTTTCATGTGCACTATTTTTAACTACTAAACACTACTGGCTGGTTTTAACCACATCTTAATGGAACTCAAAGTGAGTATAAAATGTATCTTGCTGGAGGCAAAAAAAAAAAAAAAGTGAGCAATTTTTAAAAACTATATTATATCTGTAAAGGTAGGAAAAAGATACAACAGAGTCACATTGCAAAAATTCACTAAGGAAATAAGCAAACATTTCAAAGATGAAAAATTATTTCTTGATGACAATTCCAAGCCACCTAAGGTTTCAGGGAAAAAGCTCTTTTAAAAGTAGCCCTGTCAGAGCAAAAGGAGGTTTCTACCTAAAATAATGCATTAGCAGTTAATTTAAGAAACCACAATGTTTCCTGACTACATGAATGTTTGTTGACCCGGTTTCTCATCCCCTGGGTTATGCATACATTGTTCCTGTCTGACAGCTGTCAGAGAGTTTCATCCTATCACCACCAATAAAACCTATAGTTAAAAGCAGACTAATGAGCCTGTTCAGAATTAAGTCTCCAAGCTGCCTTAAATCACACCTCTATCAGGAGCCTACTTCCCAGAAACATCAAACATGTAAGATTCTGCAATTATGGAAACTTTTATTCATTTGCTCTATGTGAAGCTTTGTCCAGAATCCAGGATTTTCAGAACTGAGTAAGGGAAAGCTTTTTTCCTTTTCCACATGAAATTGTATGTAGAAACCTAATATGTAAAACACTAAAGAAAAATGTGCTCAGGTCCAAGCTAGATCCAGGCTCAGAGCCCCAATTGCTCAGCTCTCTCCTTCCCCTAGTACTGTGTGGTCATTGAGGTACCTCCTCAGATTGCCGTTCGGTCTTTAGTTAGAAACAAAACAAAATAATAGAAAAGATACTGATAAATTACAAGAAGGACAAAATCTGCAAGAAATGAATCCAGTCTTCTTTTTTTCCCAAAGATGTTATTTATTTATTTGAGAGGGAAAGAGGGTGAGAGGGCATGAGCAGTTAGGGGCAGAGGGAAAGGGACAAACAGAACCACTCCCCCCATCTGCCACTGAGAGGGGAGCCCAACGTGCGACTCGATCCCAGAACCCTGATATCATGGCTTGAGCTGAAGTCAAATGCTTAACCAACTGAGCCACCCAGGTGCCCATGAATCCTGTTGTCTATGGATGCAGGCTTCTGATGTTTAGTGCCTTTTCAGCTATGTGAAAAATACATAATTATGGCTAAAGTCCAAAATGGTCAATCCCTATATTAACTAAAATCAGATTATGGATGAAGTTTTCTTTTTAATGCCACACTTAATTCAATTTAAACCAGAAAAACAGTATGTTCACAGATATTATTGGACATTATCGGGTTATAAGAATGATACTGAAATTAATCTCTCATTTGGATTTTAGGAATAATATAAATTTCAAATCTATTCTTATATATTAAATATTGTGTGTTTGTTTGGAGACCACCTGCATTCTATAGTCCAGCATGACAGGTTTCATTCTATCAGGATGAAAGAAAACTTGGAAGATCCAGAAATTTGGAATTAGAGTAGTCCCACCTTTAAGACCCACTTTAAAAATTTGTCCAAAGGCCATCTACATCAGAATCAAGTTGAGATGCTAAAAATACAGGTTTTTCTACTTTACTTTCAAAACTCTTATTCAGTATCTGGAGAGAAGCCCAGAAATTGGTCCTTTTTCAAATGGTCTCCAGGTGATTCCAGTGTGCACTCAGACAGGAAGCCGGTGATGGGGAGTTGCAACG